GGCGAAGCAGAGACATTGATACTAACACAAGGAAATCAGTGTGGTGAAGCTATCCAGCCAACTACTAGCATTCAACCGGAAGAAAACCTCCCTGAAACAGAAACAGCGAAGCAGGACGCGGAACAGCAAGCTGATTGTGACTAAGCAGACATGATGCCGGCTCAAAATGAAAATATAGAACTAATTCAAGAGTCAGTTACCGGACAGGGAGAGGCTAAAAAGCCACAAGAAAATAATGTGGATAGTTAGAATGCTCAGCTCACACCTGGTAAGGTTGGCCAAGTTCCAGATGCAGATATAGATGATGCCAAACATAGATCTACTGTGACAGATGTTGGTTTGTGGACAGAATTATCACATGAGGAAATATCCTATTGGGTAAAGTTTAGCATTGTTGTGGACCATTTTCAAATTCCAAGCGAGCGTACAAAAAGCAGTACAGGTTGTGCACAAAAGCTCTTTTTTTATTCAACAAAAGTCAATGGGAAAACATATAGCCGAGAGTGGCTTGTGTATTCTCCCTCAAAAGGCCGGATTTATTGCTTTGTTTGTAAACTATTTCCAAACGTTGCATCTTCTGCTACAGCTTTAGCTTCTGAAGGGTTTGATGATTGGCATAGTTCATATCTTATCCAAACTCATGAAAACTCAGAGAAGCACAGGTATGTCATGTTGACCTACCTAACAAGGAAGCGAGGGTAAACGTTAACTTCAAAGCTAGACGAACAAATAAAAGCAGAACAACAGTACTGGCGGCATGTCATGGAGAGAATTATCGCTGTAATATGCACTCTTGCAGAACGAGGCTTACCCTTCAGGGGAAACAATGAACAATTTGGATCTCCAGATAACAGCAATTATCTTGGTCTTTTAGAACTAGTAGCAAAATTTGATCCATTTTTACTCGCTCATATCAATCGGTATGGAAATTCCGGATCAGGAAATCCCTTTTATTTGTTAAAAACTGTATGTGAGGAAATGATTCAACTCATGGCAAAAAAAGTTAAGGACGCAATTCTGAGTGACGTGAAAAAGGCTGGATATTTCAGCTTGTCAGTAGATTCCACCTCTGACATTTCACATACTGATCAGTTGACTTTAATTATCAGATATGTATCGCCTGAAGAGGGTTTACCAAGTGAGAGATTTTTAACTTTCCTTGAGCTAAAAGACCACTCAGGAGAAAGCATGGCCGATTTAGTGTTTAATTATCTGACTACTGAGCTTGAAATTGACTTTAGAAAATGCCGAGGGCAGTCTTACGACAATGCTGCCAACATGTCTGGTAGGTACAACGGTATGCAGCAAAAATACTCGAAAAAACAAATTTGCAAGATTTATTCCATGCACTAGTCACTCTTTAAATTTAGTGGGCCATTCGGCTGTTGATTGCTGCCTTGATGCAGTGAACTTTTTTTGGCATTATCAATGAAATTTATACCTTCTTTTCATCCTCCACAAGGAGATAGGCAGTTCTAAAATCATTTTTGCAACTTCAGTCAAAAGTGCCTAAATATTTGTCAGACACAAGGTGGAAGGCACATGCAAAAGCCACAGAAGCTATTTTGGAAAGTTACAGAGCTATCACTGATGCCCTCAGTCATTTGTACTCTGATGTTATTGAAAAGGGTGATACCAGGCTTCAAGCTAATTATCTTATGCAGAAAATGGAAGAACTGGAATTTGTGTTTATGCTACATTTTTGGACCCGTGTGATACGTCATTTTCACAAGGTCAGCAAAGCCATTAAGAAATCAGAACTGTTATTGAGTACTTGTGAATGTTTGTACAGTTCACTTCAGAATTTTTTAAGCAAAGTTAGAGAAGATTTTGATGAGCTTGAGCAACAAGCAAAAGCCATCTTGCCAAATGTTAACTACAGAACTGTCACAAGGAGACAAAGAGTAAGGAAACGGCAAGGAAATAACGGAAATGCACCTGGTCCTGATGCCTTAGATGAAATCTCTTGAAGAGATAAGTTTAGGATAAAATCCTTTATTCCTATATTAGATGCACTTGATGTCCATTTAAGAAGAAGAGCTACTGTGTACAGTGATGTTGCACAAATGTTTTCCTTTCTTGCTAATCTGACAGCATCTAAGCAAGAAATTCAGCAAGGTGTTGAACTGTTGATGGAAGCAGACCAAAAAGATGTTGACCTGAAACTTACTGATGATCGTCTGCACTTTCACTTGTACGTGAGACAGAGCCATAGGCCTACAGAAGAGCACTCTCTGTCTCATATAGACCTTTATCAACTTATATACAAGGAACAAATTCAGATGGCCTTCCCTAAAGTGGGAGCAATCATGAGGCTATTTCTCAGCTTAATGGTCACTAACTGCTCGGGAGAGAGGTCTTCTCCAACTCTCAAAATAATTAAAAATGAATAAGGGCCACAATGTCTCAAGAGAGGTTGTCCGCACCGAGTATTCTGTGCATTGAAAGTGACAAGCTTAGACAAACAAATTTTGATGAACTTTTGAATGATTTTGCTATGAGGAAGGCTAGAAAAAACTTTTTTAGTCTTAGTGTATTTGATGATTGTAGTTTATTTGTTTATTAATATGTATTTTAAAACTAACTGTTTAATGACAACATATAGTAGTGTCACACTCACTGTCAGGTAGTCATGATCATCTTATTAACACTTCCTAGCCAATAAAATTTGTAAGCTCAATGTTTTTTAAAAGAATATAACAGTAAACTTACAATTTCATTTTCCTAAGAATTCCTGCTTATTCCACAAAATGTTTACAAAGTTCGGTTATTGCTAAAGTTGTTCACAATGTTAATTTTAACATTTATGTTTTTCTTTTCAATCACTACGGTATTTAACAATAACATCTTATGTCCTTTAGAGGAGGAATTGTGAATTGCGGAATTTTCAACACCCGTCATCATCCTCGGCTTCACTGAATCATGTTTAAAACATCTTCCATCTTCCTCTAGTCGTGAGGGTGGGGGATTGGGAGGGGCCTCACAAGTGGAATAGCCTAGGGCCTCTCTTCATCCAAATCCGGCCCTGACGATAGGTAAATATTAGATGTTATTAAGAGTTCATTAGACGACACCAGTCACAACAGAGTATAGTGATTTTGACATTGATAAATCAAACTTTTCTCTTTACCACAAGGGAGGTAATGGTGAGAGACGTTCTTCTGGGGCGAGGCATGTCGTTG